TTCTTTTTACATGTGTTCATTCAATATACATTATCAATTAAATTTTTTAAAAATTTCGAGAAAAATTCAGATCGTTCATGTTTATTTATAGAAATAATATCCCTCATGTTTTAAAAATAAGTTATTTAAGTATTTTTAATGAGAGTTTATTAAAATGATATAATATGGATTAAGATTATTTTACATAGCACTCTTTCACAATAATTTATACAAAATTTTGACTATTTATATACTATTATTTGTTAAGATTTATTACATTTGTCTTAAATTAATTGTCATTTTTTTTTTTACTTTTTCTCCAACTTAAAGATTTAGGGACATCTTATGTATTTAGATATATTATCCTTAAAATAAATAAAAGATGAAGATATGATTTTTTGTGATGAAATAATTAATTAAAGTAAATAAATAATGATAGGGTTAAAGTATAAAAAAATATTTGTCGACTTTAAAAAATAAAAAAAAAATTAATTTGAGACAAATTCAAAATAAAAAAATATAGTTATTTTGAAACAGATAAAGTGTCAAATTTTTATCTAATTTTCAAAGATAATTATATTTTCATTTAAAAAATAGTGATAAATCTAAACTACTTACAATAGAAAAATGAATGATTAAATTTTATTTAAATAAAATTTAAAAGATTTATGTGTAAATAAATCATGACTCAATATATTATTTATGAAATAAAATCAGAAAAAAAATACCAACATGCATCTAAATACTTTCTCATAACAAAGACTATTTTAGGAAAATGTAAAAATAAACGAAAACGCTATTTATGAAATAATAGCACTAACGGTCACCGATCCATCGACTGGCAGAACCGGAAGAGAGAAGTTGTCAGTGAGAAAAAAAAAAAAAATGCAAGGCAAGAAATAATTGAATGGGATGCTGGATATGCAGGCTTAGACCAAAACTCTACATTCGGTATTCTTTCCCTCTCTCGCGAACAAAGTAATTAAAGATAAATTAAGTTGAAGTGTAAGGAGCAATAATGGAATTAATTTCAAAGATCAAATTCACTTGTGATTTAGGTTAAGAGTTTAAATTTGAAACTAACACTTAAAAAAATTATTTTTTTTAAATATATTAAACTGAATTGGCTCAGGAACAACTTAACAGTCCAAACCAAAAACACCATATAACTAGTTCCAATTGTGTCGTTTAGCAAGTGATACAGTTGCAGCTTGGGGAACAAGTTGATTTATCCAGCAATATGTTTACTAGCTAATAGGAAGCAATTCAAATTCCAATAAAATTTAAGATAGGATTTGGCGAGAGGAATTGATAAACAGAGAGAAAACACACAAGAATCAAATTTGAATGTTTTTTTTAAAAAATATTATTAATTGATACATTTTTTTATTCAA